ATGGGAAAGCGATCTATCATAATGTTCGTGCTGTGTGTTTACGGAGAAAAATTATGGTGGTTGCGGTATTGACAAGAAATTGGTTCAGGTTGGTATTAACATCCTGCGGTGGTCTTTCATTGGGTATTAAATGTTGTCATGTTGCTGTTTACGTATGGAGCCTGGCATGTGGTTACCTATCACGCATACTCTGTTTGACTTGTATAAATGACCTCATTGTATCCGATGTGGGAATTTAGATGCATACTCCTTGTGCCGATTAACCAGTTTGTGCAGGCAGGACTCCGTGTAGCAAGTGGTTTTAGTAGAGTACTGTACATAGTGCAGATATATATGTCTTTTGCTCCAATGCGGTGTACTTGAATACCCTTATGTCTCGGAGCAGATTCACTACATTATTCGGAGGCAGTATAATATGAGGGGGTGGGTGCACTCAATACCAGTTATAGTAGTCCAGGTTCCTGTTGTTTTTCTGTGACAGCTATAATGATATGATGAGACCTTGTGGTGTATAATGGACTCGGGGCCAACGAGCGTCGCGCTGCGTGTGTACTTGTTTCTATCGCTCGTGTGGATAACGGTACACTCACAGTCTTTGTGTTTTATAAGAATAGCTCAGTATCCTAGCTTTCAATAATGTCTATAAGGTCCTGTGTATGAGGTAATGTGTGGACTGTATAGTGAGTATCTTAGTAACTTAGTGATTATAGTTATCGGAGAGCGGAATTATCTGAGTTTATCTCTATATGGGGTCGTGTGTGTGTGTGTGTGTGTGTTTGTATGTGGGTACGTGTGTCGTCGTGTGTCGTGTGTGTAGCTGGGGTTGCTCGTGACATTTGTGATTAATAAATACATATAACTTTCGGGTAACTATTAAAACTCTCTTCTCATCTTTATGATAGAAGTAATCTAAAATCCTATAGTGTACAATACTTGTATATTTGTGGTTCAATATGTTAATATTTTTTTTTTATTTGGTGGTGTGTATTCTATATTAACTCTCGATTTAAATATCCGTATCCTTATTAAGAATATTTTGGAGTCTTGTGTTACTAGACTGGTTAGTTTTAACAGTATTATTAGTTAACACATGTGCGCATTGTCAGTTCGTTGTGCGCTAATCGATAGTCTGACACGCAATGGTGCGTGCTATATCCCGTCTCATATTAATCCGCTTAAGGAATTAGATGAGAGAGCATATAGGTTGTGTGTACATGAAAGTGATCGATGAGAGAGACATAGATTCACAATGACGAATTAAATCAACTGATCTCAAGAGATTATCTTCTACTCACGAATCATATTATTCCAAGAGATAGCATGCAGAATATTTGTTGGTATCTGTATACTCAACACATATTATGTGCTTCTTAGAGCGCAAACGACGACGCAGCTATGCACAGCGCGAATACGTCACATGCATAGACATCGTACACACACAGGAGGAGGAAAGAAAGCATAGCAAGACACATTTTGTATCCGACATGCCGTGTAGTTCATTTATTCATCTTAGCATCAAGGCATGTTTATGTGAAATTTCTTCTCATCTCCGCCAGATGCAGACATATATATCTAGTGTGTGAGGTCACGGGGAAAGGCCTTGGGGTGCCAGCTTGTGATGCTTAGCAACATGTCTAGACAAATGTTCTCAGTCAGATCTTCTCCTTCGCTTGGGTTTCCAATAGACAGGTATTCTCACGCTGTTGGAAGTTTCACTATACAGCTGGCTAGAGTGTACTGGGGTGATTGGATTCTTCTGCCATGCCGAAAGGAAATACTGCCATCACACATGCATCGACATATAAGTCCATCCATACTAGAGTCATAGTTTTGAAAACTGAACGCGAGAGGCTGAAGTTGTTGAATCATCTTCAGCATCTTCAAGTCGGCTGCCTCTCGGGTATATGAGGCAGCCATAGAATTCAGCATGTGAGCAAGGATGAGGCGCATAAGATGGGGGTGGCGCGCTATGAGTACACTCCCAGGAAAGAAGTGAAGCATTATGCGTTCGTTACTAAGAGTCTGTGATCTTCTAATGCATAGAATCTAATATGATCGAACAACAACTATTTACAAGTCATCTTATTAATACAAATTATGTGTTAAAGTGTCCGGATTAGCTAGACAAACGCGATTGTAATCTTATCCTAGCACTAAAAAAAAATAAAAGAAGAAAACAAAACTATAGATTAGATAGAACGCGATTTTCTCATCACTCCAATTACTGCTGCCATTTATGATCACATGATACCCTGTGCTACTGAAAGAACTCAGTCTCATGACAAGACTTCAAACACTTTCAGCACGAAATTAATTCCTCTTGCAACGCATGCTGTATAGTCCTACAATTGCATGCAGTTAGCAATCAGATGTCTAACACAGGCTGCCATGGCCTTTTGTAAACTGCTTCTTACTACTGAGTAATTCATAAGCCAAAATTCAGATCATTTATGAAATGGAGTTTTTTTCTTTCATGCAATACGAGGCGCCTTTTGCTGACCACCAGGGAAAAGGTCGGGCAATTAATAGAGCCATGTGATCATGCAGGTGCTAAAAAAACTACATACGTATCATCTATATACAAAGTATCTAGTATATTTTGCAGTGATTTATATAATATACTGAAGGCTGGCTCAAATCTCACTACGCTAACTTATACTGTGAGATATTTTTTTTCACTTAACTCTATACTATAACAATGTTACTTATACATGTACAAGGTGTTACAACGAACTAATGCGAGTTTTTATTCATAAGGCCGGCCACGCTCTGTGCAGTACACGCATAGGTACGCGTTGGAACGTACGGGTCTTCGCTGCGCGCTACTCAGGGTGTTTTGTGGCATGCTCATCTGGTTCCATTCGTGTTGTGCGTGTGTGTGTGGTGGCGGGGCGTGCGCGTCGTGTATCAAGCTGCCTTGTGCATGGTATTTTTTCGGACAAACATTATTTCGAATGTTCAGCTTACGAACTCGTCAATTAGTGCTAGAATTCCGCTTGTGTGCATCGCATTAGACCTGTGATGTATGGAAAATGAAACAGATATATTCATGTGTTAGAATTGTAACATTTGTAGCAGAAACAAGACATATGAATGCAAGGAGCACTCTAGAAAGTTAATGTTTCAATTCGTGTCAAATCGTACGTTAAATGGTCCTACATTATACGGGTATTATCCTTGTGCGGTATTCACATGATTTGCTTCTCCTTTGCGTACACGTCAACTGTGTTTTGTGTTTATAAGTTGCAAGAGGTCCTCCAACACAAGCATCGAGGCCAGTGCGATCCCTGGCATTTCCCTGGAGCGCAAGGGGAAGCGGTATTGGGTACATAAATCAACTTTTTCTGGACGTGCATAATTTTTCGTTGTATAGAGGATTAGGTATAGATAGAATGATGATCTTAATGATATGGCATATAATGCACACCAATGAATAACATGGGTGGTTTATTATTTTGTTTTATTTTTATGTTCGTAATAAAAATCGCTAAGAAAATGGATAGTAAAACATAGTGTGCACATGATGAGTGGAGCTGAGTTGTGTGCAATTAGTCTACCAGAGTAAATGATAAAATATATGATTTTATTGAGTATGAAGTATTACACTTATATATAACTATCTATATACAAAATTGGAAATACTGGTCTGCAGAAAATAGATATGATATCAGATTTGCAACCGTCCGCAGATATAGGTGTTCAATATAGATGTTTTGAGTAGTGCCGGTGTAGTATAAATAGGGCAGTATTATTTCATTGGCTAATGAGTGAGGATAATAATCTTCATAATAAAGCTGTAATTGGAGAGGTGGATGCTACCAGGCTTAATTGAAATTTACCGGCTGCTTATGAAGTCGCTATCGATGCATGAATAATAGATTATATCTCATACTCACTAACTTTTTAAGTATTTGTGAAATCAATGTTCAGGCATTGATATTTTCTATAGGGGCTGATAATACCACTGTATTACTTTTCACACGTGTTGACTATATATTAAGTAGCATGAATATATAGTATGGGTTGTCACAAGTATCTTGGAGTTGCGTGGTGTAAAATTGCAGTTATATTTGCCATATGCGTTCTGTCTTCTGCGTGATTGGGCTTCACCGGAAGGGTCGCTTCGTCATGGATACGCGTTGAATCTTCGTTGTGTGTGTCCAGTAATCAGTTCAGTCACGGCTAGGAGTTGAGAGTGTCCCAAAGCTCCGCGGTGGCCGCACTTCCGCGTGCGTGGCCATGGTCCAGAATGGTGAAAGACGTGGGTCTCGGAGGCCAAGCAATCACGTAGGAAACAGAAATTTTGCCTCGAGAGCACGTTGGTGGATCGTCGCGATAGGTCGAGCGTTTGGCAGGCCCTCAGGATCATCATATTTCGGGCCGTTTCCTGTGGTCGCCTGTGGGATGACGCATCTAAAGACTGTACAGATTTAAGAGAAAGGAGCATTCACACCTTGATGATACGTCAATAGTCACATGAGCCAAAACAAATAATATTAAATATGATATCTTCGATTGCAGTTAGATTCAAATCTAATCCTTCCAATAGAAATTACAATTACTATGTGATGCATATATACATTATATTATATATATAGTAATAATAGTATACTATAATATATATATAATATAAGTATATATATATATAAGTATATAATAAGATTATTATATATATATAATGATATAATTAAATAAATAAATAATTCCATGCAAGAGCTCGCTATAAGAATAAGATTAACTAATAAATCAGTATTCAATACGGAGTATGGGGCATAGCTTCGCCACATTAATAATCGCCATTTTGACACGGTTTCACTGGTAAATGATTGACATTATTCCACTACTAGACAAATGTGTAGTTATCGAGTTATCGATACCTAGAGATTATTGCTGTTGAATGTCTGATATATAGAGTCTAATGCTCTGGACTACTATCAATGTGTCGACATATGCAAGACTTCTCTACCGAGTCCGAGGGCATGAACGTGAAGATGACAGAT